TGCATTTATATATGCGTTTCCCTGCAGGCCGTTTTCTCGCCCAGCGAAAGCGCTTCGATTGGACTTGGTATGCACTGGAAAATAAATATACTATAAGTAATTAATGAAAGTAATTAAGAATGCCAATATATATACTGTAATAGCAGTATTAAAGTTATACAAATTCTGTATTAAATTGTAATTCTCTCTGAGCACATATTTGCTTAAGAAATCAACCAAGAAATAATATTTTTATTTAAATAATAACCTGATTTGGTCATATTAATTCGTAAAAGATACCAGTAATTAAATTATTTTAATAATATTCCTCTCAGTGTCGAGAAAACCCACCCATTTTTGGGGGACTAAGCACATACGTGTTGCATGATCATGTGATTTATGGATGCACTCCCCAAAAACAGATGATTGCAACTAAGGATTGTCATAAAGATATGACGAGAGAGAAGAAGAAAGCTAACCTTTAGCCGCAGTCAAAGCAAATTTAAATGTTCAAGAAATGCGTGTTTTATAGCTTCATATCTTTACCTGAACTTATGTACATATAGTATCTTTGTATATACACTTAGCCCCCTTTTTTTGGCATGCTTGGCTGGTCAACGAAACTGAAATATTTCGGTACTTTTGCTTTTCGACTTTAATTGAGTTGGCGGAGATTGTGTGGCCAAAACGAGAGGTTTCCACTGGCCACGCACGCTGCGCGTCATGACTGTATGCGAGAGTTGGCATGTATCTGTTAATTAGGTTCTGCCCTCGGCGTGTAGTTCTATTTTATTTATAAGCTCATAATTATGTTCTGGCCCCGCGACTCGACTGGATCTTGGACTATCTTGGAGGGTCATTCAACCTTCGATCAATCATTGAGCTTAGAGTGGCTCACTTCTTTTGTTTACAACCGCATACGATATTCCCATCCATATTCCCAACTCTCCTTTCTACACATTCCCTGTATGCAGAGTTATATATATATCTTTTAATAGCCATTATGCGCATTACGCTTCTCGTGGCTAATTAACAGGCGCACAAAAATGCGAAAGACTCCTCAATGCCTCTTTGTCCAATTTGCCAAGCTTAGAAATGCAAATTACCCAAAAAAAAAGCAGAATAAAAATCTTAGATACCATGGACAAAAGCGTGATGGACAGTGAAGGGAAGTTCTTTGTTTGGACTCGGACTTGGATTCTGAATACGTATAAAACATCTGCAAAATGTCTAATTAAATGTGCCGAATTTAATGATGATGGCCTCCTGGCTTAGACTCCGGCTTCGGGCTCCGGACTCTGCATTGCAACTTGGATCTGAGATCGAGTTTCGGTCAAGGTGAAAGTTGCGCCACCTGCCACGAAGCCTGCCTTGACAGATTACCCCCAGCCTCTGCTCTTGACTGGTCGCGATTTTTTCATTATTTTGACAAATTAATTGTGCGGCTAAGCGGCAATTAAGTTGCTCTGGTTAGCGGCCCCAACATAGTCTATATATATGTATATATCTGTAAAATATATACAAGATGTAACCAATTTGCATGCCAGTCGAGTGGAAAGCCTGCCGTTCGCTGCAGAAGTTGCAATGTCAATGCTTGAGTAAATTGACTTCAACTCAACTTCATTTCGGGACTTGGAAGCGGAGCAAGAGATGCCACCAAAAGTTTTCTGCTCCATTGAAGCATTCGATTGAGCGAAGTAGAAAGTTGCAGTTGCAGTGGCACCACCAAGTTTGCTGTTGCAGTTGCAGTGACCATGATGGATAGACACCAACTCATCTGCATTTGAATCGCATGGGGGACTAAGAGACTCTGGTCATCTAACAGTTAGAAGAGAACGTCAACGGGTTTGCTAGCCACACCAAAAAAAAAGTGTCATAAGCGGCAGCTTGGATACCTCCAAGCCAAAGTTATAAGCCAGTTAGATGAAGTTCCACTAGTCTTAATCAATGACACAGCTAGGAGTTCCCCTTTTCGACTAAGCCTCTGGCTCTACGCCTTGCAGAGTGAGTTTTAGAACCGGTTAACTGCTTTCTGATGACACTTACAGTTATAGCCAAATAAAAGCCGGCGAGAATACGTTGGCATCTCTGTGACTTATGTAAAAGTTTTTGGGCTTAGAGGAATTCCACAGAGGCCTTTTACCAGGCCAGAATCGGAGAAAACAGTTTAATGAAGCTAAGAGAATTTAATACAGAATCTTTAAAGAACTTTGAAATCAAGATAGGAGCTTAAAACCAGATTCATCTATGACTTTTTTGGATAAGGTTTCAAAACTAGATTAAATTTAAGGCAATATTACCCATAATGAGCGAGGCATTTAAGTTAAAAATAAGTTTAATTTAGAGTTCACTAAACCTTTTATTTTATCCTAAAAGTTTACCCAATGTTTACCCTAAACATATGCAAAAGATGAGGCTGCTGTTATTCAAAGAAATGCCAAAATTCCTTTTAAGAAAAGTTCATCAATAAAGAAGTCTCGAAACAGACTTTATTATTATTGAATTGCTTAAATTCGTTGATGACTTGCCATTATTCTCGGGGGTTCATTTCGGTTCAGAAGTTCATAACAAACTGAGTTAAATTTCATTATCACATTTCTTCTCTTTGCTTTTCGTTTTTATTTTTTCTGTCAGTATCTTTCCGGTTAGTTTCAATCTTATCTAGTCGTAACTGCAACAGTTGACCTTTAATGGCATCTGCGGCACCATCGTCTCCCCGTCGGCATTACCAGCCAGATTTTGCGAACGAGGCGTTAACCTGGCGTGGGCTGAGAGCCAGAGACGGAGCCATCTCCTCCGTCATCATCTCCATCACCATCACCATCAGCGTCGTCATCATCTCCGGAGATGTCGCCGCTAGTTGCCGTCTGTCCCCAACGATGAATGACAATTTGCAAATGGCTCTGGGTGCATAATTTATGCAGATGCAACTGCAATTGCAACTGCGGCAAAACAGCAACTGGAGCTGCTGCTTGGCTGCCGCGGCTTTTAACGCGTTGAACTTGTTATGGAAAAAAGGAGGGGATTCCATGGGGGGACCACGACTGCTTCGCCCATGCATATTCAAACGCCATAATCCCAACGGTATTTTAATGCTAAATGCTTACTCACTTCATGATGCAGACCTGGGAGCTTGGCTAGAAAAACCCGTTTTTCCAGTAATGACCTTCGGTGTTGTTTTATTATCACTCCCACTTCCGCTCCAGCTCTCAGCTGCTCCTCCTCCTCCTCCTCCTCTTTGAAATTCCGCTGAAAAGACCAGGTTAACGCAGTTGTTAACCATTTTCGGGCCAACTCACAAGTGCGGTCTTGCCAATTTCAATTTAATTAGCCAAAAGCCCGCAGCAACAGAATTTCTCTCACTAAATCCATTAAGAATATATATACAAAACAATCAAACAATATATGTATATATATGAAATCGGTGCAGATTGACAGCTTAACTGTGGTTGCTGCTGCTCGGGGCGCTGAGAAGTTAATTAAAAGGCACTTTCGAATCGGAATCGATAAGCCGCATTATAATGCTGCATGCAATTTGCATTCAATGGCTGTAAACCGAACAACAAGTGCTCCCAGGGGTGCGGTTAAGATTGGCTTTATGTTTTTGCAGTCTACAGTGGGCAGTAGAGAAATGCACAGAAAAATCAATAAATATGATATAAATGCTGATATATTCTGAAATATTAAATATATATAAATCCTAAGCAATTATTTCTAGGATATTTTAGGTGGCTTCTCTTTTGCTAAAAGACTCTGAACTCTATAAAGGAACTTTAGCTAATGAATCAAGTAGAATATTAAATCTTGACAATCGTTAAAAGATTTGAATTGGATTTATACATTAAACCATTTTATGTTCTCTTATTAAGCATTCCTTTCACAACACGTACAAAATATTAATTAAAACTTCTCCTAATAAAGTCTAATCATGCACTAAAATCTTAATTAAAACAAAATAATATACAATTAACCCGTGCAATATTAATGCAACAAATATTCCAACTAATCTCCGGTCTGAGAATTGTTCATAAATTCTTCAAAACCTCCACCTCCCTGCTCCCATTTAATTGCTCCTTTTTGTCTGGCTTAATATGCTAATAAATATTAACCCCACCATATTCAGGTCTGATCAGTCTGAAGGTGCGACCTTGCAGCGGTCACTCTTTATCACTCGGTGTTAATTGACAATAGAATTCAGTCTGCCAGTCTCCAAGAAAAGAACGGACAAGTGCGCCGTAAAAGCCAGCCAAGTTGGCCAAGTTAACCTTGATGGAGCAGCAGCTCTCCTTTATCGTTTAAGTCGACGCCTTCGCCTCCCGCTCGAGTGCATTTAAAACCGGCTGCAACTTGTTCTGGCCAAGTCAAGACAAGCCATGCCAAGCCGAACCGAGCCGAGCCAAGAGAATGACAATAAATATTTTGTAGCTTATGCAGAGCTCGATTACAGCCAGTCGAGACTTTTGCCGGCGATTAAATGGCCCGAAATGCCAAACGTTTTCCTTAGCCACGTTAAAGGGGGCGGTGGCGGGCGCTGTTGGCCGGCAATTGCAGCTCATAAAAAACGAGCTTTCGACGTGCATTGAATTCGGGTCATTGCTTGGCCAAAAGTGCTGGCCGGAGAGGGAGTTAAGGTGGCGCCTTGCCATTTTGTAATTCGATTTTGAGTTACGCGAAACGAAATTGGCTAATTTTGCATGCGGGCCCACAGGCCATTGAACTGCAGTCCAGCGGTCACAATTTTCTGATGTTATTTTTCCGCCAATTGCTTAACATTTGGACGGTTAAGGGTTTACATAAATCAAATTTGTAATATAATAAATTACCATTGTACTGAAAAATTAAGATATGTATATTTATTTATGAGTTATTTCAAATTACTAACAGAGCATAAAGATAGGAGAAGTAAGCTACTCAAGTTTTATTTTAACTTTAAATGGTATAGAAATATCTAAACATCTTCATAGTACTTGCAAAATCTTTAATACTAACTGAAACCTCTCTCCCTCTCATTTATCTTGCAGATTGTACAAATCCAAATTAGAGGCTAAGGAAAACCACACGAAGGAGCCAAAGTTCAAGCAGGTAAGCGGGGAAAATGTTCACACAGAGTGCAGAAATGCGTAACGCAAATTGTAACTTGGTAAGCTCGTTGGTATTTTCCATAATTTACACTTTCGTTGTGGGGCCAATTGGCATGCCAATTGGAGGTGGAGGTGGAGAAGGAGGAGTTGCAGGCTCCCAGGCTGCATAAAACACTGGTAATTCGAGGCGGCTAACAAGGTGTTGTCAGGTGTGTAAGTGTGGGGTGGGGGTGGTGGAAAGACCAGGAAATGTGGCATGCAGAAGATTGCCAATGCAACTGGCAACCTGTCGAACAATGGCAGAGCCTGGCAGCATTGGCAACACGGCAACCTGGCCTAAACGTCAGCCAAAGTGTTTAAAGTGTTGCTGCCAGTGTTGGCCTTTAATTATCGACTTTAATTGGCAGAAGCCGAATGTGTGTGTATGTTGTGTGTGTGTTAAGTGACGCAGAAATTATGCGAATGCCAAATGCCAACGAACTTGGCTTCAGAAAATCGCTTTCGCTGCGAAAATCGGATTGTTTTGGGCCAGAAACTTCAGGCTTGAGAAACTTTCCATTGTGCTAGAAGCAAAGGTTTCACGTCTCTCCACTATATATATATCCTATATACTATTAATGCAAAGATAAATCTAATTTCATACCTAAATTTATTGTACAACTCGCCCATAAAAGGGGCAGAAATGCCACTCCATTGTTGATGATGAAGACAGCCAGTGGCCGCGGTCACAACTGAACAGATTTTCAGATTTTATTTTTCCAGTTAGAAACAAAAAAATGACGCACAGAAGAAAAAAAGAAACAAATATTGTTCATAAAATGAGAAGAAAACGAAACTGAGGAAGAAATGGCAGCTGCCGGGGCTGCATTCGACAGCGTTTAGTCTCAGAGATTTGCTTTCGACTGATGGCGAACAATAAAACTTTCCATTTCTAACAAAATTACACTCGACGACGAGACGAGACGACTCGAAGACAAAGCCAGACAAATTTATCCAGTTATCTGATGTTTGCCGTACTCATCTCCTCATCACTCCACTTACCTAGCCTGATGCCCCAACCGATTCCCATCTGACGGGGGAATTTGTGTTCAGGAATTTCGGTGTATTTTTTGCGACGCGACGACTCCCACTCGGGGAACTCGAATGGAAATCTCAGCAGCGGCAGCAACATGCTCGTAAATGTTGCATGTCATGTGGCACAATTCCGATTCCAGTTGCAGTCCATTCCATTCCCCCAGGTGACATGTTGCACACGTGTGTGGCAACACAAGCTGCGGCGCCCTTCCCAGAGCCAACGCCACCACCACTGCCACATTATGTGCTATCTGATGTCCGATGCACCGCCGTTGCCCCGCTGATTTGTGGCACCGTTTATGTGGCGGAACTGTTTATTAATTAACGAGCACATTTTGGCCTTATTCTGTCGGCATTTCTGGCCTTCCATTAGGTGCTAAACTGTGTTGGCCCAGCTAATGTTAATTGGTCTAAATGAGCCACTGGCATGCAACGTTCTCAATCAGCTGCACCAGCATATAGATATATTTTCCCCCCATAACTCCAGGTGATGAAAGGTAATGGTTTTGGAAATGGTGCATAATTTATTGCACATAACAAACTAAAACCAAACACACAATGCTTTTAAAGTTTTTTATACTTTATACTCTGCAAACTTGAATAGGGAAAACATTAGGTAATCACACAACAAGAGAAGATGAAAGGTAATGTTGGGAAAGTGTTTATAAGGAATTTGCATAAACAATTCGCAAACAGAAGCTATTAAATGTTGTTCATAAGAAAATTATTTATTAAAGAGAAATTAGAATAGTTTCTATTAAGTAATCCTATTAATAAAGAAATCCTCTTAGATTTATGAGCAAATATTGCTTATTAGTTTGAAATTAATCAGCTTTAGTTAAGTACCTAAACATCTATAAAAATAACGAAATTTTAAATATAGGTTGTGGGCTTATGAAATAAAATCAAATCTAAAAGCTTTGCTGCGCTAAATAATCAATACATTTAAACATTAAAGCAAGTCTAGATTTAAATGTTTTTGCCTTTAAGTAATCCCTTATTGTTTTCAAATAAATAAATAAATGTAGTTTGAAATTGAGGCTTATTAATAAGCCAGAAAACCTAATTGCAATTGCACGAATAAATTACTCATTGATTGTTTGACATTAATCCCCTTGCCAGTTATGATGAATTAAAGGAAATGTAAAATAGTTTACAGAAAATAATAATTTAAATATTAAATATATAATGCTTATAGATTCATCTAATCATTGTTCTTTATATTGTAAAATATGATAGTATAATATATGATATATAATAATAAACAACTAAATAAACGAAGTAAAGTAGCTTTATGATATAATTCATATAATATATAATTTCACAAAAACTGCTAGCTTATAAATAATCCAAATTATCCTTTCATTTTCGAAACAACACTTTTCTCCGAGTGTAGCTAAGACCGCTTCTGTCTAATGGCTGTTGCCTGTCAAATTGATAATGGGTTTTTTGGTAAAGCTGCTGCTGCTGCCACTGGATGGAGCATTGCGATAAGATCCCGGACTAGCCCCAGACTCCGCTCGAACGGTTCAATTGAAACTGTCAATTGCAGTTGGCCACAACACTCTCCCCGCCTTACCAATTTTGGTGTAGGCGAAACAGTGAAAGTTGTGGCCATGATGATGGAAGCATGAGGAGCATGAGGCGTTGCGGGGGTAATTAATGCCAATTAAATGTCAAACAACAGAAGCAAATAATATTGTGCTGGGGCGTGTCCCTGCTGCAAATTCAATTCAACGTTTGCTGACCAAACTTTCGATTAATTAAGCCAGGTTCAAAGCCCAACCAGCCCAGCCGGTTCAATTGATTTCATTTCCCAAGAGCCATGAGTCCGCTGCACTTTCTACGGCCAACAAACAAAAGGAGGAAAAGCCATTGCCAGTGGCTCTTTTACATGTTTACAAACAACAAAAAATAGGGTTATTTATGATTATTTAATGCACTTGGGCTGATGCTGCAGGTTCAATGCCCAAAGACAAAACGCGGCGAACGCGAATGCGAATGCAAATTGATTCGTGCAGTTGAGCCCGCCAACCTTTCCTGCTAACTTGGCTAATTGCTCGTCGCTGTCAACATGTTGCTGCTGCTGCTGCCGCTGCTCTCTTTTGTTGGCTCTTCCATTGAACTTTGAACTTGGCCAGGGGGCCCTGCAGTGGTTTACTGACTTTCTTTTGTTGCTCATCGCGCCAGCTGACGACACTTGCAACGTGCAACGTGCAACTGGCAAACTGGCAAACTTGCAATGACTAAAAGCTAACGGCAGCATCAAGAGCAATTGCGGCAGCTGCCACTCCATTCAGTATGTGTGTGCCACACACCCCCTGTCTTTTGTCTCTGCCACGAGACATTGTTTGGCCTTGCAACAGTGCGTATACGTAATATGTGTAGGCCATTGTTTTGCCAAACGTTGCGTGCAATTTGTGCTTGATAACCAGTGGATGCCATCATACTGCTAACAAGAATTATTCCATTGGCATTTCAAGTGATGTAGTCAAAGAGTATTGAGTGGTTAAACGTCATTGAGAATAGCTCAAACTTTGAGCTAGGTCTATAGAAATATATACATACAGCTATTCCCTGTGTGAACTTTATTTGCTTTCGTCAATTGGCAGTATTTGGCTTTTCCAAATAACCAAATTCAATACAGACGTTGACCTTTGGCATACAATTACATCGGCAAACCCTTCAGTTTCCCCGCCGTTCTTCGTCAGACATGTTTTCCGCCCGAACAACTTGTTGTTCTCTGACTCAGACTTGACTGGCGAACGCTTTGCATTTCGTATTTGCTATTTCATATTCTAATTGTGCAATAAAAGTCAAGCACAAGTAGGCATTCATAATTCACCAATGGGACGTAGGAATGAGTTGGCCCGAAACCCATTTTTGGGGCCAAACAGGTGGTGGAGACACAGAGGCAGCAATTGTTCTGCCTTTTGGGCGTTTATTGTTCTGGTCAAGATCTTATTGCCAGATCCGCAGGCGTAGCCCCAAAAAAAAGTTGAAGCAACAGCAGCTGTGTGTGTGGAAACCGCATTTAAACAAAAAGTGTGTCCCTGCCTCATGAGTCATGCCGCATGTTGCCACAGCGACGGCATTTGCTAGCTGTCTTGTTGCAGCTTGCAATTCCTGACAGCCAACAAATTGGCCAGCAAATTGGGGGAATTGTGGCCTGACCTGAAACCAAAAACTATCCCACGCAACAGGTTTTCGCCTCACTTTATGGCATGTGTCCCCAAATGGAAAAGTTCTTGTCCACCGCGGACCACTCGTCGTCATTAACTAACTCTGTGCCCAAAAAATCGTAAAATATTTTAATGGCAAGTTATTAAAAATTAAGCAAATGACGGGGGGACAGTGGATAGGGAGGTAAAAAAGTTACGATCTCCAGCTGTTGTTCCGGGGAAACCAAGGAATACAAAGTTGAAATCCGACGACACATTTCAAGGGGCGGAGGTATTAACTACTCTTTTTTTTGTTGTAATTAAGCAAGCTGTTGCAGCAACACATGTGCGTGCTGGCAAAACAAAGTAAAAAATAAATAAATAAAAGTAAGGAAAACAGAAAAAGAACAAGCAACAGGCTGCGGCATTAACTTGGTCCCCTGGCAACAGTTGCATCAATGGATGCGTTTCATTTATTAATTTGCACTCTCTTGTTGCTGGTTTGCCGGTTTCTTTTCTCTGCAATTTCCGTTGCTGCCTCAAGTTGCAGGAGGAGGAGGAGGAGGAGTTGAAAGGGCCTTGATTTGGCCCTTCCCCTCAGCTTCCTTCTCAGCGCCGTCTTGGTCTCTGTACTCTTTGTCTGCGTCACGCAACAGCAAATGAAAACGAAGACGGCATGGGAACCTAACCTTGAAATACATGTTTCTTTTAGCCGGGCCCCCATGCTTCCTCCCCCCCTCTGAACTTTATGCCTTATTTGTATTCT